GGCAAAGGGGGGCAAAGGCAGGCAATAACAACCCCCGCCCCTGCGGGCATAAAAATATGGCCTATCGGAAACGGGCAATCGGCGTGAGCCTCACACGGAACGGGACGCCGTCACGTCATACCCGCCACCACCAGGGCCATGCTGCATGCGGAAGCGTTCAAGTAATCACTCACCAATGGTTGTCTTGAACAGAACGTGGTCCTGGGCAACGACTCCGAGGCGCTGGAGCGCTGGAAGGTCACCCCGCAGCCGCTCAACTACTACACGTACATCTTCCACGTGGAGAACCCCGTGGAGGTGGCCAACGGCGCCCGGCCCGTACTCAAGGAGAAGGGCCCTTACGTCTACGAGTACGTCATTATCCGTGTTGCTTGTTGCCCCTCCGGCCTTGGGCCCGTCCGCCGCTCACCCTCCCTGCCGCCCCCTGTGCCCGCAGCCTGTTCAGGGAGCGCGTGGACGTGCAGTTCCACCCCGAGGACGACACCGTGTCCTACTACGACAAGACCATCTACCGCTTCAATCAGGACAAGTCGGGCTGCCACTCTGAGGACGACGTGGTCACCATCCTCAACGCCCCAGTGCTGGTAAAACAAAAAAGAAAAAAACTTTGAAAAAAATTAACTGGGTATGTACATTACGACTGAGGCCCGCTCCCCGCCGACGCCTTCCAGGGCACAGGATTGATGATGCAGCAAATCTCGGAGCAGCTCCTCACGATGTTCAACGACGCGCTGCCCAACATCTTCCCCACCGCGTCGTCCGCCTTCATCACGGCCAAGGTCCGGGAGGTGCTCTTCGAGGGCGTGCTCGTCAACTGCTCCTACCCGTTCACGCACTTCCCCGTCGGCCCCATCTGCGCCGGCATGCGGAGCAGGGCGCCCGTGACCTTCCGCAAGGACGGCAAGAACTTCTACTTCTCGATGTTTAACCACGTGAGGGCCACACTGTAAATCTGGGGTGTCCGGCAGCTGTGTGACTTAACTCGCACTTTTCCAGGACACCTTCAGTTTTAGCACCCTTTTCCTGCAGAGAGGCCCATGCAAGGGGTGTCCAATCAGAGAGCCCTTGGCTGGGACTGGACCTCTCTGCAGGAAAAGGTTGCTAAAACTCGAGGTGTCCTTCAAAAGTGCGACTTAAGTCGCACAGGTGCTGGACACCCCAACCCCATATTAACAGTGTAGGGGAATGGCGTGTGGAGGTAAGCGAGGACAAGCGCTGAGCCCCGTGTGTCTCCGACTGTCTGGCAGCTCAACGGCACGGACACCAAGCACCGCGTGCGAGTGTACCGCGGCCAGAAGAACCCCAGCGCGCTGGGCCGCATCATGCGCTTCGGCAACAACTCGCTGCACACGGCGTGGCGCGAGAACACGCACTGCAACATGATCAACGGCACCGACACCACCATCTTCCACCCCTTCATCCGGCCGCCGGAGAAGCTGCCCGTCTTCGTCTCGGGCTCCTGCCGCTCCATGTACATCACCTTCGAGTACCCGATGCACGCCCACGGCGTGCGCGGACTGCACTACGTGGCCGACCCCAAGATGCTGGCGAGCGGGCGCACCTACAAGCCCAACCGGTGCTTCTGCCCGCCGGGGCCGCCGCCTCCAAAGGACAAGGTGAGTGAATGTCGGGTCCCCATTCTGAGGTAAATTCTCAACGGATTTTTTTAAAAAAGTACCTTCAGCAGTACCTTCAAAAAGACTGTATCGGTATTCTAAAAAGTACCTCGGTATCGGTAAGGTAGAATAAAATTTCCAGTACCTAGGTAAGGTAAGGTATCGGAAAAAAATACCTAGGTACTACCTAGGTACTGTACTACCTAGGTATTTCCCATCCCTGGTCGGGACCAAGGTGGCGGCCAGCGCCTGCGGAGTCCGGGGTAGGCAGACCCGCAGCGCGCGGGTGGCCGAGCGTTGCCTACCGGCCGGGCGCTCAGGACAGAGCTCCTGGTCTCTCTTGGTCAAGGTGCTCTTGGTGTCTCTATCTCGTGTGTTATTGCAGGAGGGAGCGGCCAGCGCGCCTCCCGCCGTCACGGTCAGGCCCGCTGCTGCGCTCACCACGCTGGCCGAGACCCAGGCCCCTGCTGCCGCAGCGCTCACCACGGCAGCCGAGGCCCAGGAGGCCCCCTCGACCGCAGCGCTCACCACAGCGGCCGAGACCCAGGCGGCCGCGCTCACCACGGCGGCCCAGACCTCGGCCGCCGCGCAGCAGGCCCAGACCTCGGCCGCCGAGGAGCGGGCCGAGGCCACGCCCAGCAGCCAGGACGAGGGGCCGGCGGGCGAGCGGCGGCGGCGGCGGGACGTGGCCGACGACGAGGCGCGCGAGGAGAGGGACGCCTCCCGGTGCCTGCCCGACGGCGCGCTCGACATGAGCACGTGCTTCGGCTCGCCAGTCATCCTCACGCTGCCGCACTTCTACCTCGGCGCTAAGGAGTTCCACGACTACGCCATCGGGCTCAAGGCCATCAAGTCCAAGCACGAGACGTTCGTCGATATCGAACCCGTGAGTAGCAGACCGAGGGCGGAGGGCGGCGGGCGTGGCTTTCGATGTTGGTGTTCAGGAAGTTCCCAGGTAGCAGAACTGCATAAAATGTGCATTTTATGTCCAATCTAAAAAGTGCCTATTACGCGTGTAGGCGCCTAATATGCGCGTACATGCGCCTAAAACGCGCGTTTCAGGTGTGACATACAATGCGGTTCGAATGTAGTTTGCTTCATTTTGCTACCTGGGTTGGATTTGATCTTTTTTGACTTGGACAGATGACGGGAGTGCCACTGCGCGGCGGCAAGCGAGTGCAGCTCAACATGTTCCTCAAGAAGATAGACGATGTCGCCGCTCTCAAGACGGTCAGCGAGGGTCTGTTCCCCATCCTATGGGTGGATGAGGTATGAGGACGTGGACGTGAGCGTCCAAGTCAGAAGTGGGCGTTACTTAATGAAATGTACTGACCATCAATCAAACATCTTTCCCCAGGGCATCGACCTGGAGGGCACGAGCCTGGAGCAGCTGCAGGCGGCCACGCGGCGCCTCACGCTGCTGCAGGTGCTGCCGTGGGTGCTGGTCGCCGGCTCCGCGCTCATGGCCCTGGGGGGCTGCCTGGTGCACATCCACTCGACGGGGATGCTGCAACGCATGGCGGCCGAGCGGCGGGCGCGGAACCCTCCGCAGGGGGCGCCGGGCGGCCACGGCGCCGAGAGCCCTCCCCCGGGCACGCCCGGCAACTACGGGTAGGCAGACCAGCACGGGCCCGACGCGGCGCACGCCCTCACCGAGGCCCCCACGGCCGCTTGCTCCCCCCTCTCTGCACACGCGGCACTTTCTCTCTGCTCGGTCTGCAGGTTCGCGCTGGGCTTCGGCCCCGCCGCCGCCAAGGGCGTCCTCCTGGGCGCGGAGGGCAGCCTCAAGGCGCGCCTGGCCGGGCTGCACAGCCTCAGGGGCCTGCACGGCCTGAACGGCGCCAACGGGGTGGGGCCCTGGCTGGGCGGCGCCCCCCGCGGCGGCCGCGGCCACGTCGTCACCCGCACCTTCTGCAGCGAGCACCCCAAGGAACACTACGTGGAGCACCCGCACGCCGCGCGCTGAGCCGGGCGGGCTACGCACGCGCCATGCTGACTGGTTCTGGTGGACTTGGCATTTGTTTTATGTTTCATGGTGGCTGGGAGGGGGGAGTAGGCGGTACAAACAACAGCTTGGAATTGCCGAATCTTCTTGGTGGTTTTCAGGCTGCCGTTTTTACCGTGCGTGGTGTGGTGTTAGCACTCTGCTACTCAGCTGTATGGTCACAATAATGTACCTGATAATGTAATACGACGTTTCATGAGCGGGCATGTGGGTCATTTCCTTTAGGACCCTGTTGCCATTGGATTTGCAGTTTCTAATACCTCCATGTTTTTACATCGTCTCTCGCACTGCGGCTGCAGCCTCAAGGAAGAGACAGGTACTCCCATGTGGTCAGTGCCGTCGCGACAGAAAAGTTGACCAAGCCCCTGTGTTCGTCAGTTCCCAAACCGGGATAAACTAATGTGTTTTGTTAATAAAACTTCTACAATTTGCCAATGGTTTTCGTTTTTTTAGCAGATACCTTACAAAGCCAAGGGTTAAATAAAAAATAAAAAATATATATACGCAAGTAACTTTAGATGTTAGCTAGCTTTAACTCTCTTAAAGAAAAGAGAAACAAGAGCGAGGCCAGCGAACTGAGCGAACTCAAATACAGGGTGGTCCACAGACCCTTCCTTTAATTTTCTTGTATTGTACCGGAGGCTGCGGGTGCGCGCGGCTTCCATGACGCTCGACGCACGCACGCGCGCGTCACTAACTTTACAGACCTTGTGAGACACCACGGGGCGCGACGATAGGCAAGCCCGCCGCACGCCTCCATGTCATTTAATGTGATAGTTAATAGTGACAAAATATACTTGGGACGTGAAATTGATAGCCACTTGCCTGTGAATGCCAAGGGAGACCTGACACCTGCACGACATGACGAGATACGCATTTTGTAACCATGGCGCATATGGCGCCGTCGGCACTTCCGGTACTTCCACACAGCCGACCAATCACAAGCCTCCTCGTTCTGTTGCTATGGTGACGCGCTGTTTACAGTTCACGGGTTCAGTGGTTCCCAGAGAAGTACAGGAATTCCTGAAAACAACAGGGATTTGACACTTTAACAACCGTTGCTTTGTAATGAAGCAAATCTAATCAGCGTTTTAATCAAATATCTGCGGTGAACTAAAGTCTGACAGACAGAATGAGATTCAAAACATCATTCTCCAAAGAACCCAAACACAGTGATTTTGTCACATGTGTGGATTGGAACACAACAGAAGAAGTATATTCATGCAGGTAATGAATCATCATTATTAAATAACAATAAGCTGATGATGTAGTAGTTAGTGACACTTCTTATGTTTGCAAACAGTGATGATCACACACTTTTAAAGTGGAATCTAATGAATGGGGAAACTATCAAAATCACAGACCTCCCAAACAATCTATTCCCAACGGATATGCACTGGTTCCCTAGAGGTCCTGGTAGCAATCGAAAACAAGGGTCCGATCTGTTGCTAATAACATCAGCTGATGGTATGTATAAACACCGTGATATGTTATTTACATGGCGTCTTTCAAACAAAATATCAAGGGCAGCACTTCATTTTGCAAACACTCTGAAATCCAGACACAATTTTATGAGAAATTTTGAGCACAGGCAAGTTCCATCTGTTAAATAAAAATGGACGAATAGACCGGACAGTTGATGCCCACAAAGGAGCTGTTCTAGTGGGTCGATGGAGTTATGATGGAGCTGGTTTACTAACAGGTAAAACTTTTGCTTACGACAAAGCAAAGGTTTTAAAACCACTCAAACACCAAACATTTTTTACCATTTCACAGCTGGTGAGGATGGACAAGTTAAAATATGGTCAAGAGGAGGAATGTTGAGATCCACTGTAGTCCAGTCAGGGGCACCAGTGTACAGTGCAGCGTGGAGTGCTGATTCAAATCAAGTTTTGTATGCTCAAGGAAAAATGCTAATCGTGAAACCCCTAATGCCAAACAGCAATCCTATTCGGGTAATTGGTCTAAATAAGCATGAAGTTTTCTTACATTTGCAAAATGGGTATCATGCGTCACTTTTCTTTTCACAGTGGAAAGCTCATGAGGGATTAATTTTGAAAGTTGCCTGGAATCCTAGTAATAACTTAATTGTATCAGGAGCAGAAGATAACCGTTACAAAGTAAGTAAAATCCCCATTTTCCAAAGCTTGTTGTAAAGCATTGTAAAACTTGGTTCCAAACAAAACCTTCTTGTAGGTGTGGGACCCTTTTGGCCAACAGTTGTACAGCAGTGCACCTCATGAATACCCTATTACTGCAATATCATGGGCCCCAAATGGAGGTTTGTTTTCCGTTGGCTCTTATAATACATTACGATTATGTGATGAAAGTGGTGTAAGTACTCACAATATCAATATTATACAAATAAATAAATCATTTTGTAAGCTTTTCCTAATTTGGACTTCTTTGTTTATAATAGTGGTCACATTCATTGGAAAAACTTAATACAGGAAGTATTTATGCCCTGGCATGGTCTAGTGATGGAACCCAAATAGCTGGAGCATGTGCAAACGGGCATTGTGTATTTGCTCATGTCATTGAAAGGTATGTATTTTTCCTACCTCTTGAACTTCAATATAATCTGTATATTTACCTAAATTTCTTTTTGAAAAGGCGCCTGGAGTGGCATCAATATGAGGCCTCACTTACAGGACGAAGGAGTGTTTCAGTTCGAGATGTGACCAATGAGTCCTGGGAACGCTTTGAATTTCCAGACCGGGTAATCCAACTTGCTCTTGGATATGACCATTTGGTTGTTGTAACACCATCACAGTGCCACATATTTAATAGCCACCATTGGAATACTCCTACAATATTGGAGTTACGAGAGGGATCAGTTTGTATGCTTGTACTTAGTCCAAAGTAAGTAATACCCACTTAAGGAAAATTTACAAAAGTAATTGGTTATAACATACATAGCAATAGTAATTTGAATTCTTTGGTCTAGGTTTTTCTTGTTGGTTGAAAGGGCTAGTGTTAATTTGTATAGCTATGAGGGGAGACTTGTATCTTCTCCTCGATGGGCTGCAATGCAACCTGAAACTATGAATGATAAAAGTATAAGTCTAAGTGATGATACATTAGCAGCACGCGATCAAAATGACCCTAAAGGTAATTTGTGAGAAGATATGTCAGTAAAAGCACTACCTCTTGGATAGTTCTCAAAATTTTGCCATGTCCTCTGTTTTTTTTTAGTTATACATGTTTTTGAAATTGGATCTACAAAGGCACTTTCAGAGGCTCCACCAATGCTGCACACGATAGGTGTTCTTGAAATTGCTCTTAATCAGGGAGGATCTGCAGCAGACCGCCTAATTGCCTTTGTTGACAGAAGCCATGACCTTTTCCTTGCATCAATACATGGGACAGGACAGCGAAAATTTGGAAAACTAGGTGAACTTTCAAACTTTCAACTATACTTACTACAACTATGCTTACAATTTACCTAATTTTCTAGTATATTGGAATATTTTCTATGTCCTATGACGAAAAGGAAGAATGGTGCAGTCTCTACGCTGGAACTGTAGCATAAACATTTTAGCAGCTATACAAGACACTTCCCTTACTGTGTGGTATTATCCAGCTGTAATATTTAGTGATAAGGGCATTGTTGAGAAAACTTGTGCCAAAAATGATTCCAGGTAATGTCAAAAACAAGACATTAATTATTTTTTTTACAAATTGTACCTATAATTACACAGTATTACTTCAAGAAATTTGTTATTATTTTCTAGTGATTTTGGAAAGAACCCAGTTGTTGTGAGTTTTTATGGTAACCATGTAGGTGTCAGAAGAGTAGATGGATCTTTGGTTAATAGTGCAGTGCCAATGACTGTTTCACTATTACATGAATTTGCTTCAACAGCACGCTGGGAGGAAGCACGTAAACTTTGCCGCTTGGTGAAGGTATAAACAGTTTTGATTTGTTGAGGATGAGTATTTAGACTATGGCTTCAATCGAATAAGTCAAAATTATTTCAATGATTTTCAGGAAGACACTCTTTGGGCCTGTCTTGCAGCAATGGCGACAAAAGCTAAAAATTTGCTGATAGCAGAGGAAGCCTATGCATCAATTGATGAAATGGATAAAGTAGAATATATTCAGCACATAAAGGTTGGTTTCCTCCTCATTTCCTCTTCCCCTCTAAAATACTTAGCAAGAATGAATTTAAATTATTGATATTTTCTAGACGATTCCAAATAAGACAGTCCAAATGGCAGAAATGATCTTGATGACAGGAAGTGTTGAGGAGGCAGAAAACTTACTGATGCAAAACGGACTCATATATCGGGCAATAATGGCAAATATACATTTACACAACTGGAACAGGTAATAACTTGAAGAATGTTCTTTAGTATGCATGTGCATTGCTCTTAAATTGGCTAACATCTTATTATTCCATGTTTGAAAAATGCAGAGCTTTAGACCTGGCCACTAAGAACCGAACACATATAGACACGGTTCTGTTCTACCGTAACCAATACTTAGAGGCCCTCCAAAAATCAGAAACACACGAGAAGTTCATAGCTTTAAAAGATCAGGTAATCTAATAGTATTGGTAATTGATCCTTGTCAAGCAGATCATTTGTATAAAGCAAAATTCTGTTTTATTGGCCAGGTGCAACTAGATCCTGATAAGATTAACAAAATGATTGCTCAAGAAATTGAGAAAGAAAAATTAATGAAAAGCAGCCAGTAGTGTTCTAATAAAAATCACATCAAATGTGAGATCATGTAGGTAGGTAGGTACAGGGTACTGTTTTAAGCTCGGAGAAATAGTGATAATAAATCGTGTAAAGTTGAAGCTGATAGTTTCATTTATACCTAAAATCCCCAAAGTGCAAAGCAGTTGGTCTTCTGACCAAGAGAGGCTTGTTCTCACCATGGTAAAAGATGAAATAATGGAATATGAAACATTTAATAAAAATTATAATTTGCTTACCTACATCTTCAGGTACAGTAAACACTCCAATTTTGGTACTTGTCAATTAAAAGTAATAATAATGGAAAATTAGAATAATTTAACGTCTAGCAAAGTTCTGATCCATTGCCATTTTTGAACGTTGTATAGTGTTCAGTTTAGACTTGATTCTTCCTTCAATGGAGGCCTGATCAGTAGCTCTTGAAAACTGCTTTCTGTAAACAAATAGATGGTTCATTAAATTCATTCTACATCAAAGGGAAAATGAGATATTTAAAAAAATATAGTACCTTGCAAAGTCATCATCAAAGTTTTCATGCAATTGTTTCTTTTCTTGAGCCTCTTCTTTCCTATAACGTTTCACATTTTCTTCACGCTCTTTATCCCGCCAAGCAGCATTGTTGAGCATTTCATTTCGCCTTCTTTCCTTTTCCTCCTCAGTAAGCTTCACTCTTTCCTTTTTCTGCCATGGAATAGGTTTCTGCTGTTGAGATTGTGCTGCTTTTACCTCTTGTTGAACAGGATTTTGCCTCACAACTGGTTTTGATCCATCAGCCATCTAGAAAAAAAGAAGACCAAAACATGCATTAGTAGCCGTTGAAAATCATTAGAAATACAGAGACAAATTTAAACTGAAGATTTAATACTACAAAAGATTATTTACCATAAGCCCGAAAGTCATTTTTCTTCGAGACTTGTTGTCATCCGAATCATCAGCACCATCACTATCAGAATGATATCTCTTGCTGACTTTCTGCGTGGTAATCTTTTCCCTATCATTATCACTTGCACTGGATGATCTATCTCTAAAACCTTTCTTTTTCTCAGGAGAAATGTCCTTTTTCTTTGATCTGAAATCTTGACTATGTCTTTTTTTCCCATCATTATCACTTGCACTAGACGATCTATCTCTGTAACTCTCTTTTCTTCCTGGAAAAGCTTCTTTTTTTCTTGAGCCACTTGCTTCTTGACTTGCATACCTCTTCCTTCCATCAGAAGTTTTGTCAATATAACCGGATGAATTATCTTTTTTTCTAGATGGTCTGTCCATATCTCTGCTCCTTGATCTGCTTCTCTTCCTAGGATGTTCACGAGAGTCTCTCCTGTCAAATGACCTAGGGCTTTTAGGGTGTTTCCTTTCCTCCCTGTCATCATAGTTAAATTTGCCACGCCTTTGCTTTTTATCTTGAGGAGAAGTAGATCTTTTATAGTGATCGATTTCTTTTCTAGAGGGACTGCTATGCAACTTCCTATTCTTTGAGTTTGATTGCTCTTCTTCACTTCCATCACTGTCACTACTGCTACTGCTACTACTTTCACTATTACTTCGACGAGACTTTTTTTTCAGCTTGCGAAATAATTCACTGTCCTTTAAAGCATTTTTTAACTTTGCTGTCAAAAGAGCATCAAGCTCTTTCTCCTCCTCATCTTTCTTACTTGACTTCTTGCTCTTTTTCTTCTTCTTTTTCTTATCCTTTTTGTGACTCTTCTCTTCGGATTTTGAAACCTTGATCAAGAAAAAAGACAGAATTACAGATAACTCTAAAATTATTAAGTGGAAAGTTATAATTTTTTCATACACACCATCTTTCGAATTTGCTTTAGTCTGACTGGGTTGTTGTACAGTTCTTTTGCCTTTTCAACAGCTCTCTGTCTAATTGCCATTAGAGGGTCTTCATGCATTTTTCGTTGAATATCAACTTGCTCACTGAACATACTGCTCTTAGCCTGTCGTACTGCATCCGGTAAACTTTCTGTAAATTAGATGAGAGAAAAAAAATCATTTTTTTTTTAAAATTTGGACACATGACACCATTTACTACAGTGCATCCCGCTTAAACCGTCGCGGCCGACTTTCGCGAAATCGCAACGGTTTAAGCGGGAAACGGTTTAAGGGAGGTCCCCGAGGGACTAGAGACTTGACTCGGGAATTTCGTTTTACAACGGCTTAAGCGGGAAAACGGTTAATGCGGAGCGCGGTTTAAGCGGGATGCACTGTATATTTAGCAAAAAATAAAATGGAAAGCTAACCTTCATCTTGTGATGGTCCGCCTCTTTGCTCATTGTTGTACCTCTCAAAATTCTTATCAATAGCTTTACCCAGTAAGTAATCCTCATGATTGATAGACTTACTAGGTCCTTTATACATCCACTCTAGTTTCACATCATCTTTTTTCCTGTCAGAAATAAGTTAAATGATTAAAAGAAAAATCTTGCAGGTATACAGAAAATTGAAAGATAGTTTAAGAACTTCGAGAATGAAATAGTAAAAGACAGAAACTTTACTTTAAAACTCCAGCATCTTCAGCAAACTTTTGCATCTCTTCTTTATCACGCTCCGCATTAATCTCTCTTTGCAATTCTGCAATCCTTCTTTTCTCTTCGCTGTCCTTCTGTTCTGCTTTCCACACTCGCTCCTGATTTTTCATGGTGTGAGGATGCCATGACTTTTTTAAATTCTGCAACACAATAAGGAATTGATAAACTAAGAGATGAAAACATTCAAAAAAATAGAGGTTAAATCAGAACAAACACATTAAGTCATCTTACCAAGTCGCCTCCACCCATGATATTGTGACACTATCTCCTGTCTAGCGGATTAGAGAATGGAAACAAATTGCTACGAGGAAAATCCAGACGAAAACAAGAGTAAATAACAATCAGGAAATATTTGTCTTGGCAAGGACAACAGTACGATCAACGCAAAGCGATTTGGATAAACAACAGTGGCGGGCAGGGGGGGGGGGTCGTAGTCGTACCAACCCATTTTACCTGGAGTTTTGTTTTTACACATTTGAAAATGTTATGAGCTTGGCTGAAAGTCGATGCTGATCGCCATTAAAAGGGTAAAAATGAACTTCAATCGGACGACAAAAGAAGAAGTGAACCAGTTTGAAGTTGAATTAAAATTAATGGCAACACTGCTCGTTTCACTTTCTACAAACCATCGAGGAGGCCGGGACAGTGCGAGACGGACCTCCGATGAGACGACCACCCACATGAACGTCAGCTGTCTTTCTCATCTGTCTGGTCGGGAACTTGTCTCAAGCTGCTCGATAGCAGCTGAATTTCGTGAAGTGCGTGCCGTAATACGTTTCATTTCGTTCCGCAACAACGGAATACTTTAGCCCGCAGGGATTGCGACCGTCCTAAAATGGCTGTTAGACCAAATCTCATGGACGTAAACACACTTTATGATTTGAGCTCTACAGTCGTAATTAACTACTTTAACTTATACGAAAAGGACCTGATATCTCTTCCCGACAACATTCTGTTTGATCTCTACTACAAGGTGAGCCGATTTGATACTCTTTGTCCCAGTTGTGAACGTCTGGGTGTCACGTAATGTTCAGTTTTGGCGAAATGGATCTGTTTAGAACGGTGATGTCGGGAATGTAATCTTCTCCCCACCCCCTCCACTCCCATTTGACCACTGATAATGGCCAATGGTTTGTTTTGTTTTGGATTTTTTTTTCGTGTACATGAATTCTTTGTTTTGGGAATCCTAACATTATTAGAATTATTGAAGGGAACGGCATTGCTCTTGCAGTCAATTGTGGATGCGTCGCCGTCGGGGACCTTTAGTAGTACAGCCTTATGTTTCCTTCTATTCCTGAGAAATTTAGGATCTACATGTGTATATGTTATTATATTAATCGTCAGGAACCGATGTATTTTTATCAGATTAAAGTTTGTCATCCATAGTTTTATTATTCCTCTATTTTCCTGAGGAGTTCTTTGCTGGGCTCCATGCAATGATTTTGTCCTCTTTTACATATTGGATTTAAAGCTGTGCTCAACTATCTTCCCTTTATGAACTTTTTGTCACTTGTCTTTCTCATGACTAGCTTATGTTTGTCATTGTCAATTGTTAAGCTTTACTTTGACTAATTGTTTGTAAACAAAAAGGAATAGGTTATGTTACAAAGTTGGTTTTTTTTTTTTGTACTTTTCAGAACTACCGTTTGTATTATCAGAATTATATGAGGAATCTTTGTTGCAGCTCTACAAGGACAACAGAATATGCTTACTAGGATGGGAATTGGTCGATTTGAATGTTTTTGCACGGATGCTGAAAGTTACGCACAAGCGGTTGCAACTCCTTCAATGTTTTCAGGTAATGACCTCTATTTTCCTGTGAATTAGAATAATTCTGGCTTTTTTCTTCAAGTTAACATTTGTTTTCATTAAATTCCAGTCTCTCATGGATCATGGAACAGATATTTCAAAGGAGTTAGCAGTGTCTTATGCTGACAAATGTATGTGCTCTCAAATGTGTCCCTCTCTTCTGGAATCAACAATTGATTTAGGCCTGAGATTAGGTGGGTATCAGCTCAAGGTTTTGTTTGTTCTGCATTGTATCTTTCCATTTGCAAACAAAGAATTGTGGGCAATGCTGCTTCCAATCTTAAGAATTTTCAAGAACTGGCTTCTATGTGTTCATTATTAAGTTCACTGGTCCTTTCCAAGATTGATAATATTTCTCACTCCACCCCCTTTTTTTTTTCTTTAACAGGAGCTTTCTTGAGTGATGCTGGATGGTTCAAAGACAGTGAAAGTGTACTAGTTCATTGTAGGGATCTTTGCTTATGTGCCCGTGAGACCCCTGCTTCACTTAGAAGAACACTTGAGTGTTATCACAAGTAAGCAAGATTCCTTTTCAGTCATGTATTGCTGATAATTGTTGAACCCTGTTATATCCTGTTGACTTTTTCAGACTATTTAATGTTCAAGCGGCCTACTGTCTGTTTCCTGAGGCAGCCCAGACTTACCAGGAAATTCATGAACTTATTCTGACCTTAAGAAAGATGAATGAACTCCCTAATCTAGCTGCCTTGTACAAAGAATTCTCAATTCACTTTTTCCTACGCAGTGAATATGACAAAGTTAGTACAAATTTCTTCTCTTGATAAAATTGTGCTTATTTTCTAAAATCATTTTGGTGATAATCACTAACTTTTTCAGGCTCACAAATGGAGTGTTGAAGCTTTAAAGCAACTTGTGCCAGGTCTCCCTGCCACTGTTGTTATTGATGTCTTACGGCAGTTGTCCAAGACCTGTGTTGTGAAACGTCAATTTAAGAAGGCTGAAGTTGTCATCCGGCAAGCAGTCCGCATGGCCAATGAAGTTTATGAGCCAAATCACTTCAAGCTTGCAGATGCCCTTCTTGACTATGGTTTTTTCCTTCTTAACTATGACTGCATCAACCACTGTGTGAAAGTAATTAATAAGGCACTTGACATCAAAAAGGCAACATATCGCCGTAAAAATATATATGTTGCATCAGCTTTGGAGGATCTTGCCTATGCCCTTTATGTCTATGAATACAGCACAGGAAGATTTAAGAGAGCAAGGTAAGTTACTCACTAATGCTAAGTTGTCCTGCCTTCGTAAGTTACTTAAACCATTTCCTTCTACAGAGACTTTTCTGAAGATGCCATTGTTATTCTGGAAGAACTTTTGCCTCCCAATCACCTAATGCTGTCATCAGCAAAACGTGTGAAGGCCTTAATCCTGGAAGAAATAGCACTTGATATGCAGAGCAATGCACTGGGTATGTTGTTTTCACATTTTTAACTTTATTGTATCCATTTCATACTAATACTAACAGTTTTATTCTCTCTTATGGAATAGTAGACTCCCTCCTGCCTGATGCAGAACTCTTACATATAACTGCATTGGAACTATCAGTCAAAGCTCTTGGAGATAATAATGTCCAAACTGCTAAACATTATGGTAATCTAGGAAGATTGTATCAAAGCATGAAGAAGTATAAGGTAAGGGTACAATCTTCTACATCAATGTGACTCAGTGTTCTTTTGATGTAATACTAAATTCTTTTTAATTTAGGAAGCAGAAGAAATGCATCTCAAAGCAATTGCCATCAAAGAGGAGAGACTGGGGAAGGATGACTATGAAGTAGGGTTATCTGTAGGCCATCTTGCATCTTTGTATGCCTACCATACTAAACAATATGAAAAAGCAGTTGAACATTATTTACGGTCAATTGAAATAGGTTTGTTCTTACCTTTTTGAACTCTGATTTATCATCTAAATTACCTTGCACCTTGCTTATCATCTTTTCTTATTTTTTAGGTTTAAAACTCTTTGGTGAAACTTACTCTGGTTTGGAATATGACTACAGAGGCCTTTGCCATGTGTATGGAAAACTTCACGATGTAGAAAGAGTTGCACACTACACCTTTGTACTGAATCAATGGAAAGTATTGAGAGAACAGCTGAGTATGCAGGAGAGTAAGATAGTCCTTGATGAAACAGGCCCATTGCAGCCCCTTCCTGACATTATTGATTTCTTTTTTAAAGATTAGCAAGGTCTCAAGAAGTAATTCTTCAACGTTGAAGGTGATGTGATAAGTTTTCTGCAACTGTAATTGAGACTTGTTCCTACCCCCCAACCCCCTTCCCTCCCCTCTCCTTTTTTTTCTTTTTTTTTTCAAGACTGAGCCTTTGTATCTTTCCATCTGTCTTAAACTCTGATGTAAAGGCATCAGTTTTTCACATTTGATTTTTTTTAAAGTACCACTTGACACCTGACTTGTGTAAACATTTATATAACTGTGTTTTTGTCGACTTATTATTGATCTAGATCAAAGCTGACATTTGACTGACATCAAACAGCGGGAATCTGATACGGCTTGCCTGACAATAGTGTGTTATTTCAATTCCGAAGTCTAGGTCAAGTCATTTTTCATGTTAAATTTGAATATCGTTTTCTCTATTGTTATGATATTTTTAACTGGCTTGTTAATAGCTCCCCCATATATTAATGCACTTCATTTTGCAATTTTTTGATTGTATTATTTGATGGTAAGTGCTTTGATTCATTGAGAGGTCAGGAGAGAAATTATTTGGAAGCAGTATTTTATTGTCTCATAGTGAAATCCTTCACTTGCTGACTCTTTAGTTCATCCTCTCAGTCTTCATTCTTGCTTTCAAGCTTTTATTTATTGCAGTGCCACTAGTTCTTAGTTCTAAGTTTGAGATTTTAATTGAAAATAGTGTGACATTACCTAATAAACTGTCCTTGACTTTGTGTATAATAGACTTTGTAAATGTTACTGTAGTGATATAGTCACTCAAAGAGGTTGAGGTTGACTTTTCAAACACCTCAGATACCTTCCATCCTGTAATAACT